TTTTATTCAACTGTACACTCATTTCAGAAGGAACTTTAAATCTACTTCATTTGAGAACATTGGTTACCAATTACTGATTGGTCTCTAAAATGCAACTAGTTATAGTCGACTGTTGCACCCAAAATTATAGTTCGCATTGTTGTTACACTTGTACTTCTATTCAAAACTCATAGATAACACTTTTCCTCAAGTAAACCTTCACAACATACTTGTGACAGTACATTTACACTGCAGAATAGATGCTTTAATTTAACCATTCCAAATGTGTTTTTAAACATTTGAGCTGTTATGTACAAAAAAGCATTACAATGTAAATCAGCTCCCTGTGACCTGCAGTAAAACTCTGCAAATGCATGGGCTGCTCTTCTCCCCCCACAGGATTTCAGAATGAGCAGAAATGTAGCGAGTTGAAGAGGCCTCTCTCCTCCTACGTAGTCTGGCTAAAACCGCCAGAGACAAGTCAGTTAATGATCTGAAATTCTGGAGGGTACAGGATGGTACATCCATCTTTCACTCTCCAAGTTTTTTCTCTCTTCCGCCCTTCTTTTGCCCTTGTTTGCAGCAGACGTGTGTCTCTTCCAATCTCACATTTTCTTTGCATTTGGAAGTGTCAGGTCTTGGGTCACTGCCCGTGGCACTGCGTTGAACATGTCAACTTGAGCTGTGCTGTGCATAATGTCAGCGTCAGAAAGAGGGAGAAATTTGTAGTGCTTGGAGGGAAATTGAAGTAGCTTCTTACATGTGTATCTGTATTTAGAACAGTGTGCTTAAACTCAACCTTTGCAACTCATCTCTGACCAAATAACTAAAAAAGAAGACAGTAAGAAGGCAAAGAGCTAACAAAATCTGGACAGTTTTCCCTCCACTTCTTTCAAGCAAAAACTCCTAAATAATAAAAGTGCAAATTGTCAATGGTTATTCTCTTGGTCAATAATGTTATCTCAAAATATTTCTAAAAGTTTGTATTACTGCAACATGTTTGGAGTACCACATATTCAGCAAATCTTCCAGTAGTGCTATAAAAGTAGAATGTTTAATGAGATAGAGTTGACTAAAGAGTTATGTGTCCACTATATGGCTGTGGGGCATGAGGGGGTGTTTGAAACTGTCTCTTAGTGCCAGACTTCTTGTACTCTGAGTTCAGCTATACATTTGCTGTGTGGGTGGAGCAGGTTAACAACTTCATCAAGTCAGACAGTGTCAAGAATGTGAATCCCAGACAGGAAAAGTTGAGAAAAGTACACAAATCTCACTTATATTATTATTTTTTCATTGTACCTTCCTGTTGATGACGCTTACTAAGTCAATTGTGTTGTGCTGGAGACAGATTTCTTATAACTTTTGTCATGGTACGATGTGACAGAAAAGACAGTGTTAAATGGTCAAATGTAGGATTTGTTAAGAAACCCTGAATTATTTTAAACTTTGTTGTTGGTTGGCAAGCTCCAGTAACTCTGTTGTGACATTAGATTTTATACTGCCATCTATTTGCTATAACACATCAATTCCACCTTGTTATTTGTGGTCTAATTGCATTAAGATACATTCAAAGTCACTCAAATAATCAATCAAAATCATCTGCAGAATATTTAAACAGTTAAAAAGGCATCTGTTGTTCATATTTTATGACAAAACCTCTGTATTTCTTACTCACGCAAACATGAACTACACTTCAAAACGTTTCTTGTTTCGATAATTCAGGTAGTCAGTCTCTCAGTGGAATAAGACACCCCCCCTCAATATAAAAAAACACAGTTTCTACTTCGCCTCCGTAGTCATCCTGTGACTCAGTCATCTCAGTAAATCCAGTCTGTCCAATCGATTAGCCACCCCTCTCTAAGAGCCTCCCTAATGTTGGAGCTCTGAGAGGCCACTGTGCTTTCCACCTGTTCGGTGCAGATATGCCGCCATGACAATTGTTAGAGAGAATGCAAAGACGTCCATCAGAAACCGTCATGTGATAATGTGCGAAGGTTTTAATGAATTCACCCTAATGGCTTTCTTTTGCTCCCCCATTGCTGAGTTTTGTGGGTTCTGATGGCGAACAGTTCATGGCACACTGAGGCCAGCAGCCGTCTGTTAAGCCCAGCAGCTCTGAAACATTCTGATAAGACTGTGGAAGTCACCGAGCTACCACAACAGCTTACTAATTGAGGCCTGTGTCTCTTCCTCAGCTTTACTCCCAATTGTGAGGAGCATCCCTTTTGTTTTTATTGGCTGGAAACTGCTGTTATTATGCCTCTGTTAGAAAGTTGTCACAATGTAGAGGTGACTTTATACATGAAGTATGCCTTCTTTTGAAAACAGTCACGGCACTACAATTGCATTTTTTCAAAACTGAGAAGATTAAGCCTTTCAATAAATGTTAGTTAAGTGCATGCACAAAGGGCTACATAATTAAGTAATGGACACACGTTTTTTTGTGTAAAACCAGTTAGTTCAGGACCTTGCCAAGATGTCAATTAACATAACAGATGAGAAACATCTTTGTTAACACAGAGAAAGAAACCCATTAGCTTTGTATCAAATCCTGACATCTTGGCCACTATAGATCGTCTGGGCATAAAGCTAATATGCATTACACGAGACTCTGTCAGGAATCCATGAAGTGAATTAGTCCTAACAGGTCGGCTTGGCAGCTGCCAAGGCCTGGCAAGACGGCAAAAAACTGTGTGTGTAATGTGTTCTGAAGACGGAGACTAACGGTTGTTTTTAATTAAAACAAATCAAAAATGTAGAATTTGGATTTACCTAAGGATTTTAAGTGTATTTGGCGCATTGTTTATGTATGTTATGACGTATAAATTAGCAGTACTAAAATAATCTTTGAGCAATTTCTGTTAAGTGTTATTAGGATTTTTGAGCTGCAATCAAATATGTCATGCTTTTTCAACAACAGAGACAAAAAACTTGAAATGAGAAAAACTCAATCATGAATTCAGCTGCATACCACAGTAAAGGTGATCACAACTACAAGAAAGACTAAGGAATGGCAGGTGATTGTCTCCGGCAGCCGGGACTGAGCTGGAATCTAATGCAGGTTAGTATTTTATTAGTCAGAAGGGACATTGACATGAGGAACAGTGTGTATAGTATATGCAGTGTGCCACGCATAGAATCCTATTAGCAATACACTGCTCTCTTAAAACTGTGGAGTCCAGATGTCTTCACTCCAGTAATGCTTGGAAACATCCATGGTCGAAAAGTCCAAAAACATCTGACAAATGACCCAAAGGAGTCACAGAAATATATTAGAATGGAAACCAGGAACACTGAGCTAGTTGTTGTAAAAGCAGGCTTATGATTGGCAAGTGGAGATTAAACTCCCACGGTGTTTGAGAGGGAGGTAAAAATAGTCATATCATCTGCAAAATCCCTAAAAATGCTGTGTTTTTTTCAATTGCATAAATGTTTGTACTGTAGGGATGACTGAAAAAAAAAAGTGTAATTTAAATGTAATTTAGTCATATAATTATGATTTAAAAACATTCAATATGATATCCATAACAGTGCCTTCAGGGCCTTTGCAATTAATCGATAACATTACAAAAATGTACCTTTGTAATTAAAAATATTTTTCTTAATGGAGGACTTTTTGATTACATTTGAAGCATTTATATGATGTTCTAAACCTTAGTTAAGCCACAAATAATGAAGTAGAGGTTTAACATGTTGCCATACTGTATATCGCTGCAGAGATTGCATTTTATAACCTTTATGAATTGCTTTCTTACACTAGGAGATTATGATGTGCAGCTGTTGCCTTGGTTTTCTTTGTTGACCTTTCTTTGAAAAGTGCTGTCAAAATATTAACATATATCATACGAAATTCATTCACAAGGCCTGTCAAGGGTGCAGCCCGTTTTATAAACAACTATTTCTGACTTTAAAAGCTTGCAGATTGGTGTTCTTTGGAGGGTGAATTTAAATCAAATTATCTCCTGTATTTTCAAAAAAAAAAGGTGCTGTACAAACCCAGAGCGCTGTTTTAAAATGCCAAGAGGATTAATGGCTATGATAAGTGCGGTTGGTGTATTAAACTGAGTCCTTTGAGTGCTGCCATTTCTATTTCAGCTATAATTTGTGGAACATGGATTTAAAGTATTACAAAGACAAAAAGAGTAAAGGCAGGAGAGACAGAGAGAGGGGAGAGACTGTGTTTTATAGTATAAGAAATCAGTGCAAAGGTTCCAGCCTCTCTGGGCTCGATGTGCCTGGATGCCGGGGAACTACAGTGAAACAGAAGGAGAACAAACGTGAACACAGGCAGACATTCACACACGCACACTGGGACTTTTTCTGCATGACTGGAGGTACATGTCGCGAGCTGCAGCGGGGGCAGAGGGCAGATGGTGTTATTGAGGTGGGAGGTTAAAATGTAGAAAGGTAGACAAGGTCTGTGTGTGTGGTTGTGTGTTTGTGTTCATAGAAGGCTCTTGCTGAGCTGTTTGCACTTTTCCCATTTTGAAGGTAAAATACAGTTACAATGACTGACTCTCTACAACATTTGGTTTACTAATAGTGATGGGACTGATAACTTGTCTCATGAACCATGGTTTCTGCTTTTATTCTTTCATGATTTTGTCAAATAAAATGTTTACTGCTATAACTCTATGTCAACCATTCACTTAGAGATACAAATCTTTTAGGAATATGTTCACACTTTTGGAGAGGTAAGCGTTAATTCATAATCTTGACAACACAAGATAATGTGGTCTCTATACTCCTCAGCACTGTCAAAGAAAAATCATTGAAATTGTCTCAAATTAAGATTAAAACATGTTTAAGCCTAAATGTGAAAAACTCATACGGGAATAAAAAGGATGTGGGATAAATGGTAGGATGTCTCCATCTAGTGTTCATTGCTTTCTTTTTTAGCAGTACAGCTTTCTGAACATCCAAAGTACATTTGTATTGCTTTTTTATCACCAACACCAATACCAAATTCCTGCTTGAAAAGTAAAAGTGCATACATTTTATTTACATTTTGGGGGAAACAATTACTTGTCCAGATAAACAAAAAAAAATGATTATGCTACTAGGATTTTATTTAAGATATAAGAATTAAGAGCCAGTGAAGTTACGTGTATTTAAGTTACTAGAGACAGTCGTTGTTATCTTCCTCTCAGCATAAAGCATAAGCAATACTGTGTGGTTCACCTTTTTAGTCTCCTCCTGTTATTTTTACGCACACTTGATACCAGCAAGCAGAAGACCCAAGATCACACTTCAGAACAGAGTGAAAGTAAAAGTATTTACTTAAATTCGGGCACAGTTCTAGACAGATAATCAGTCCAGCAAGTAAAGGTATCCTAAACGTGATAGAGAGTTTAAAATACTGGCACATGATCAAAAAACTAATGGGAATAAGACTTCAACGTTGACAAAAACTGAAAAGACAAAATGCCACAGATAAAGGGGCGCCAACAGACTACTGTAAATAAACAAGGGGGTTACACCCATTGCCCCTTCATTAAAGCACGGTTAATGGTTCCTAATGATGAATAAGTCCATATTGCTATTACACCGTGCCTTTTGAGAAAATAGAAGCAAAAAGCAGTACAAACTGGGAAATATTTTTTTGTCAAATATGATACAATTCCAAATCAAAAATGTATTTCAAAAACTCGGAAAAGTCAAAATGCATTCTTTGTCATTGCAAATCTCTATCCTATAGCAAATCTATATCCTTATCCTCCTCCATTGACAACATGTCCTTATTCATTGACTGAGAATGTGCTGGCATCTGTAAACCATTTTCTTTCTACTTCTTTCTTTCCCATCTCCCACAGTTTAGTAAGAATCCGAGTCCCATTTTTGGCTGTAACCAGGAGATAGTTCTTGTTGTCTGGGTATTTTTTTTTATTGTACCGGCCATAAACCAGAGACTGGCACAACCGAGCGAGCACCAGCAGGTAGAGGCATTCCCTTTCATCTTCATTGAGTACCATGATGCTCTCCCAACCTGTAAGTATTGCTCCACCTACATCCAATGGACTGGGGTTCTCCAGCATCATGTACGCAATTGTTATTGCCAGTTCAAATACATAGCAATCATTCATGAGGAAAGAAAAGTCCAGCACGCCTGACACCTCATGACGACCGTTTCCTACAGGTGTCACAATGATGTTTGTGTCGTTTGTGTCTCCATGTATTATTCCTATCAAAAAATAGAATAAACTTGGTGTCATTGAATGTATTGTTGTGGAGGAACGGTACACTCATTTAAACAAATGCACCTTTTTCATAGAGGGAAACAAGCAATTGATATCTGTTACCATAGTGTGTAGAGGTAATGGCTCTGTTTATCTCTTTTGGATTTGCTCTGATCAATTCGACTTTAGGAGCATTGGAAGAGAAATTGGCCACCCTTATAGCCATAATTGTATGAAACAAATTGCATGGTAATCGGACCAATGGCTGAGCAATTTCAATCACAACTGCAAATTTCAACTTTCTGGTGTTGCTAGAGATAAAAGAGGAGGTCAGGAGACCCGAGACAGAAGGACTCATCCTTTGGGGATCTGTAGAAAATATGACCTTACCCTGTCGAGGAGTTGTGGAGATATTTCACTATGAACAAATGTTGTGGACCAATAGAGGGACAGTAATACTCAAAACAGCAGTTTTAAGGTAATTGGAAGATTGTGGTTAAAATAATGGTTAAATGGTGACAAAATATAAATTATTGCACATGGACCATAGACTGCACGTTGTCATTGTGGAATTGTCAAATATAATTCTTTAGCATTCTCGACTGGATTAGCATGCACCCTGTTAACAATTACAGGATCATAATTTAACCAAACAAGCAGAATCTTGAACAGAGTGAAATACTTAACCATAGGAATGCAGAACATAACACAGTAGAACATGTATTACCTTTTTGGAAAGAGCTGATTTTTGGCTGCACATGTGATTTAAACTGTTCAATGACTGCTTTGATCACGTCCTGCAGTGGATCTCCATCCATCACTGACAGGCAGCGCTCTATGAGATGGATGTTGGATAAACTCCATTCTTCATCACAATTATTGTGTAAGACATCCAGGTTTGGAGATTCCAGCTTGGAGAAAAATGGAAATGTTTTCAATAGTAAGCCAAGGCAAGGCAAGGCAAGTTTACCTATAAGCACCTTTCAACACAGGGCAATTCAAAGTGCTTTACAAAAATTAAAACATTAAGAGCATTAAGAAATAGTGCAGCAGAAACATATTATAAAATGCCCTTTTAAAACACTAATTTAAAAGCAAAAATAATAAAACATGAATAACACAGGTACATGAATAAAAGTACATAAAAAGTAGTAAATCATTTTGTATGCTTTTTTTTAATCAAAACCTTTTGATCAGTCTGACGGACATTTTAAGTGGACATAGCTAGCGTGTTAGCCAATATTTGTACTATAGCTCTACATCAACTATACTGACAATATAATTCGGTCTTTAGCAGACAAAACTTGAAGACGCATAAAATACAGTACCTTTAGAACAGCTGCATGTGTATTAGAAATATGTGGAAAGATACAAGTTTTACTTTTCCTCTTACTTTTTGCAATGTCTTGTCCATGAAAGCAATTAACCTGCCCACATGATAAAGATCTTGCATAGTGCCTGGAGATTCTGCAAGGGTTTTTCCAGGAAGATAAGTCATCAGCCTCACACAGTAGGTCTGAGCCCCATGTCCGCAGTCTAGTAAGGTAAGGTGGATACACAAACAGGAACATTTTGAGGTAAGTATCATAGCATCATAACTCATGTGTTGCCTGATTTAGAACTTTAAAGATTCACATAACACTGTCATAATGGACAAAAGGCATTGCCTGCATTTTCTCTAGGTTCATTAACACTGGGCAGAGCAAGAGATGTTGGTATCCTTAAATAAGGACAAGTATAATTGTTGTTCAGTCAAAGATATAATACAACTATATAATAACTATATAACAATACATTTCAGATAGCTAACCTGGTGGACTGGGCAGCCCATGTTCAAACCAGACCTCCTTTTCCTGTGATTCAACCCTTTCTCTACCTCTTTCCAGGCCATCTATCCTATCCCTCTAATAAAGGCAAAGGGCCAGAAGGAATAGTATTTACATAAAGGTTCTACACTTCCCACTCTTATAGTCCTATTACAGTCCAATCCTTTCTAACTTATATTTCTGGTCCAACTGAATTGTTTTTTTGCCAATCCCTGTCACCCTGATAAATATTTATTGAACTTATTTCTATCTATTGTGGGGGAAACTTCTGAAGCAATTGGATATAGGACTCAGAGAGACACGAGGAGAGCTGAAGCTTTGATGGCAAACACTGACGGTTTATTTGGAGCTTCGGCCGGAGAATGGGCCACGAAGTTGACCACAGGTTGAGATGCCAAACCAATTCTGAAGATCTCTACCCCAGACCCATGTATTTATTTAGTTCTGAGAGAATGATCAACATTGTGCATAACAAGATAAAATCATAACAACTCTATAAGCTGATGCCAACAGGCAGGAACAGGGAGACAAAACACTAAGAGCACAGCAGCCAAGGCTACAGGTGCCTGTGCTCAGTGAGGTCAGTACAAACTGATAAACTGGGTCAAAGTTATGGACCTTGGAAAATATTTCCCCAACATCTATTAGTATATATACATTCATATTCAATTCAAACACTGTATATTCACAAATGTGTGGATTCATCCAAATGATTCATATTCTTGTCCTGCTTAGGTTAAATATATAGAGAGAATGGCGGTTCTTCAGAATATAGCTGGCAGTGTGCCTCCGGTAGCAGGAAATCAAGCAACAATGCACATGCCGCAAGCAAGTAGAAGCAAATATATTTTAAAAAATGGACACCTACCTACCTACATTCATGAATGATGGGTGATTTAGACCCATACACTGTGGAAATTATTATAATTGGTTCAATTTAATACAATACAATACTTTTAAGGAAATAGGCTAATTTAAGTAAGATGGTACATACTTAATCACGTTGTTAAAGGATTGGGTCCATTTTTGTATTCTTAAGCAAAGGCTCCTTCAGACATTAGTTTAACCAACCACATCTTGCAGCATGTACTTGAGATTCACTCAGTTGTCTTTGTTTTTTATGACTTACTGTAAGCAAAGTTACATTTAATAAAATTGGACTATAGGGATGTTTATGCTGTTACCTATTTCCTCCATACTCAACAGCTTCCCCGTGGTGGTGGGCAGGGCGGTTTGAGCAGGAACTCCATGCTGGCGTAGAAAGGACAAGGCAAAGGTCTGAACCTCCAGCTGGGTGGCCTTTTTGCTGTCTTCTGAGTTCATGATCTTCAGGACATACTTGGTACCCTCTGTGTCCACAATGAGGAAGTTCTGGTCAATATAACTAGGCAGGGTGGAGATCTCAGTTATGGTCACTCCATAAATTCGCACTGTTAGTTCAGTTGCCTGCTGCGGGGTGAGCGTTGGCCTTATTTCTGCACATAAGAGTAAAATAGCAACACAATTTTGTACATGCTTTTGATCACCTGCAAATGTGCCAACGTTCACACCAACACCAGAAACATTTGTTTGAGTTTGTTAGTCATAAGAGGTTCAAGCAGGGCCGCCCCTCCCTACACGCAGATCACGCAGACTGCGTGGGGCCTCATCTTGCGGAGGTGGCCTCATCTTATGCGCAAATGCTGCGCAATGATGCGCTCCGCAGTTACCCTGCTGCGAGGCTCCGGCGAACAGTTCACGAGCGTGCTCCACTAGCACACACCCCCCCCCCCCATACATATTTTATGTATGTATCTATATTACAGAACAACAGTATAATCAACAGTAATACAAAAAGCTGAAGATGTAACAAACTAGTGGTAATTATTCTAACCTGCTACGCTACAGAGACCCGCCTCCGTGAAATAAATAATAAACTCAGGACAAATAAGCATGTTGGCTCTTACACATATATTTAAAAGAAAAATGAGAACACTTTTGATCAGCCGTATATGTTTTGCATGTAAAATGATTTAAACAAACCAATAAATACCTACCAATAAATCAACCAATTGACTGGGTCAAATAGTGCTTAAATAATTGAAGTTAATTATGTTTCACTGCTATTCCTTTTCCAGGTTGAATGTTTAGCTTTCCAAAAATCCTTGTTCCTATTCCCAACATGTTTGGTCCTGTTTGCCAGCACATCATTCCTTGCTAACTCACTGCTTAGTAAACTGGTTAGGTAACTGGCTATAAAGATGGTAGATCTCACAAGCTTCAGAACGGCTATGTTACAGTCAACATGACTAAATACATATCTGAGCGTACCAGTCATTTAATAGAAAACATATGCGCCACTTACCCATTGTCTTTCAAAGTCAAAGTCAACTTTATCTCAAAATGTGTTTGTACACACAGAAAGATCGAAATACTGTAGGATATATTCAGCAGATAGTGTAGGAGATGAGGGACTGTAGAGAATGTGGCTCTCACAAGCAGTTGAACAGGACTAGACTTGTGACTTTGAGGAGTCAACCAGAGCACCTTGGTACAGTCCCCTCCAAAACGATTGGAACAGCGAGGCCAATTGCTTTATTTTTGCTGTACACTGAAAACAATTGGGTTTGAAATTTAAAAAATGTATACGAGACAAAAGGTCAGTATTTCAGCTTTTCATTCCAGGTATTTAGATCTGTTAAACAACTGAAGATAGCACCTTTTGTTTCAACCCACCCATTTTTCAAGTGAGCAAAAGTATAGGAACATGTTACTGACAGGTGTTTTTTGTTGTTCAGGTGTGTCCTGCTACATTGATAATTCAAACAATAAATAGCACTTTTTTTTTAACATATCTAGATGTAAATACCTGGAATGAAAAGCTGAAATACTGACCTTTTGTCTCATATTAATATTTTTATTTCAAACCTAATTATTTTCAGTGTACAGCTAAAATAAAGCAATTGGCCTCACCATTCCAATAGTTTTGGAGGGGACTGTATGCTAAAGAGGTAATCTGCCACCAATGTCTTTCACACTGATGCACTTGTCTAACAATGCCAAAAAACACTAAACTTGCTTTACGCAAAATCTCTCTCGCTAAATTATCGCTATTACGGCCTTCATGTACAGAAACCCCCAAAACAATGTGGTTCCCTGTCACTAACAGGGATCACTGAGGTGATCAGGAGAACAAGAATGCAGAGACTTAACCTTTAAGAGTGCATGTTACACTGCACTATCCATGAAGATGGCAACACCTTGGAATTTTATAGTAAAAGAAAATAAAGTTGAACTGTGAAGTAGTAGTAGAATGATAATAAATTAATTTAAGATGTCGATCTAAATCAAAGGTACGACAGCCCTTTTACAGATATGGAGGTAAACTGTTGTGTGCAAATATAAACATTGTTCTAAGGTTGGGCATTTTGCATGAATGTGTGCGAAAAGGCGCAGTATAAAACGTGTTTGTGGAACAGGGAGCTGCTATAAATCAAAAGGATGTTGATAATGATGATGAACTAATATATAATATAGTGAAGTATATTCAATATACACTGTATACACTTCTTCATGTGGAGATGATGCCTACAAAGGTTATCATGAACTTTTAAGGCCGGGACACTCAGCTAGACACAGCAACTGTTGTGAGACCTTTGCCAGAGAGGGTGTAGAGGAAATCCCTTCCACACGTATTGCTTTGGCAAAATAAAATACCACTTTTTTCTTTTTCTGAAGAACAGGTTGCAATGTTACGTAAAGTGTCACTTATGCTAGCCTGCAATGAATCACCTCACAAAAAGGTGCTGTCATTTTCATTGTGATGGACACTGAGGAAAAGCCAAAAGCATTTGCATCTTGCTTTTTGACAGGCAGAGTGCAAATTGGCAAAAAAGAGGAATGGTCATCAAGTCCATGATGACCATTTGTTATTCTCTTTCTAAGAAGTCTTGGGTTACAATAACTCAAGTTATCATATACTGGCAATAAAATAGGCCTGGAATCATCAGTGCCGGAAAAATGTGCAGGAATCTGAACCCCGGAACGCTGTATTAGGTTCCTTCCAATGAAAAACAAAAATGTTATGCAGATTCACATAGAAGCATTAAAATGGCACAACTTTTTAATAAAGTTGTCATTAGAAAATGCAATATGTTAGTGAGTTTGACACGGCTGTTGTTTGTCTGAAATATTGCAGGAAGTAATTAAACAAGGAGCAGCCAAGGCAGGCTGACAGTTCAAAGCTTCAGGCACAGGCTTCAAACCTCAAGCTTGTCAGCATTCAATTGGCTCATAAAATTATGGAAAAAGGCCAATGCTTAACTGACTTTTTTAACAAAACAACAATAGTTAGTTGTGTTAACCCCAGTATTTTTGAACCTGTAGTATTTAACAGCTTTTGCTCTTACCACATATAACTTGGGTGGTGCTATATCAACCAAAACTGAAATCTTAAGGAATGCAATTCTCTATGCCCAGTCTGTGAAATCAGCCCACAAAAGGCCAATGCTTAACCACTCATACAGGATCCAGTGTTTTGTACATGGAGATTTGACTTTTACATTGTTCTGTGTAGACTCAAAAACTATGTGGACAACCTTTTTGTCCATGAATTTCCCTAAGTAATTTAACACAACAAGAAAACAGTGGTGATATACTTACTGTATTCTACTGTTGAGAAACCTACCCAAACTATTTTGCATTTATTATGAAAGAAAATATTGTTTTTTATTCATTTAATTGTGTCTAATAGTAGGCTACTTTTTTTTTAACAGTAATTTACAAATGTTTTCTTATGATACTTTAAGTTGGTATTTATGACTTGAGAAATACACATTTTAAATTGATCAGTAGTCCATGCATTTTTCTTTCCATCACCAATGATCCCATTTTTCTTATAAGATCGCAATCGCAATATTGTCAAAAATAATCGCAAAATGACTTTTTCACCCAAAAACCTACTTTTGTTTACCTCCATCTGAGCCAGGAGCATATGATGGCCACACGAGGGCAGTATAACACCATATTTTGTACACAGATGTAAAGCCTGGGGGGCATACGGTACTTCAGTAGAAGAAAAGAGAAAGATAAAAACGTGACAGTAAGTTGACTCTTTCAAAAGGTCTTCAATTATTTATGATGATATTGGTGTGACAAAGTAGTTATCTTCAGTGGTTCAATATGCTACTGCCGTAAAGAGAAACACCATGGCCTCATACTGGCTCTGGCACTGGTGTGTTTTGTCTATTAAAAAAAATCAACACACTACTCATTACAGTAAATTAGAAAAAGGCACTGCACTCTCTGCAGAGAGCGAAATAACCACCTGTCAAACTACTCATAACCACAGCATCTCTCTGTTTTATCTGGTTTACCCACTAATTTTCCTGCTAGTATTAGAAAAAGAAAAGGTAGTAAAAGAACAGTAATAAAGATATGAATAGATTCCATTAAATGACTTCTCTCATATATATGTTAATGTTCTAATTACACGTTCCAGCCCACTTGAAGAACTTAACTCAAAGGAATAAATGCAGTTATAGAAATGTTTCTTATCACCACACTCATACACACTGCTAGTCTAAACATTGAGGTATTTCCCACTGAAACTGATTTGTTTTTGTTTTGGATGACAGAGTTTTTATTTCTCAAAAATGACTCAAGTTATAAGGCTGCTTTGGTTTAAGCAATGATACAAAGAAGAACAAAGATTGAGTTTAAAAAAGGTGTTTTTATTTCAACATGACTTGCCCTTTTAAAGGGTATTTCTGTAAGTGTAATGCATGATTGTAGGGAATTAGGTTGATGTGCTTTTAACAAACCATCTCTGGCATTTTCCAACATGAAATAAAATGAGTCTCATGATTGTGTTTCTTAAATTATAGTTTACAAAAAAAACTCTTCCTGAGGAGGAGGTACTCAAAGACTTGTTTCCTTAGTTGTTAAGATGGCTATTAGGCTTTTACGGTACATGATTCATTGTCACAACAGAGTATCAATACTTCCACTTGCATACAGTTTTTTGCTACATTACCCATCTCTGATTCAGACACTACGTTATTCATACCACAATATGTCTGAATCTCAATCTCAAGTCAAATGTTTTGTGATTTTACTGTTAAAATACAAGTTATTGTTTTAACTGGTAATCTTAAATGTATACTTGTTTTGTGCAAGGGGCTTTGTCTAATCAGTACTATTGCACTTTGAAATGTGAGAATGGTTTACCCTACTTCTCACTTGTTGTCACTGAATTGAGCAGCGGTCTGAAACCATAACTTCTCCACCTGCTCCTTTCCGAGCTCCCATAGCTGACTGAGAATGTGGACACCCTTCTTGGATGTAATCATCAAATACTCTGCGTTCTCAGGATGCAAGCTCACAGAGTAACGAGCTAAAACTATCGACTGGCAGAAGCGGGACAGCACCAGCACAAAGAGACAATCTTTCTCAGCTTCGTTGAGGGGAAGGAAACTTTCCCAGCCCGCAAGGACAGGTCCACCCACCTCTATGGGTTTAGGGTGCTCAGTCATCATGTACATGATAGTGATGGCTAGCTCGTGGATGTAGTAGCCGCGGTTCATGTCCCCAAAGTCAAGGATGCCAGAAATCATATGGCCATCTCTCTCATCAGGTTGTACGAGCACATTGAGGCCATTGAAGTCACCGTGGTTTATGCCTTAGAACAATAAAAAAACAATAAAACGTTAATATGAATCAAAACGACTTATCACTCATGTATACGGTGACATTCTATACTGACAGTATTCAAGGTGCATATAAGCTGTGTCAAGGGAAGTGAGTAGAAAAGTGTTTGTAAAGTTAAAATTATACTCACACTTTCGGAAATTGCAGCGTTTCGGGATCACAGAGGTCTTGTACTGATAAAGGACAGATTTCACAACCTTCTCCAGAGGATCTCCATCAAATAAATGAATGTATGGTTCCAGCAGGGGAAGATTTGACAAACTCCATATTAAATTATCTCTCTCCAGAACAGCGAGATCAGAGTGCACCATCTAGAAAAGAACATAACATAATAATATCAGAAAGCAGGAAGAAGAAGTTAAAGTCAGAAGTAAAAGGAGGATAAGTGAACATTTTCACAGCAACACTTGCAGTACAGCTTTAAGCTAAGCAGTGAAGGGTTGAGTAGCCAATTTTCATTGAATATGCACTTCCCCATGTTGTCGCTAGTTATCATAAGCATCTGGGCCCCAAACAAACAATTAGTGATGTATGTTTAACTTTCCAGATTTGCCTAACATCAGCCTAGAAGAGTCATTCCAAAAATAGATGAAACCAATTATATTGAGGTTTAATAGTACAGTTAAAATGACAATGTCAACAAAAAAAATCTCAATACCATAAAAGAAATTATTAACCAGGTTAATGTATAACTTAAGAAGTGTAATTCAAAACAACAGCAGTATTGGTAGATATTGTCATTGAAGACAATTTC